AAGGGTCAGAACGCTCATTCATCATCCCTCAGCCGATCAGCGCTGTGCCCGCAACTCGAGCGGACATGGGAAGGGAGCCGCTCGTTAATGGATGCTCAGCTCTGAGTAGCGAGGACTAGGTAGTCATGAGAGCCGAATGATATCATCTCTCCTCATGGATCTCACCTCTCTACCTCTCAATATGTAATTATGTGCATGTCGATGTCAGTGAATTGTGAAGCAATGATGCACCTGTTTGAGGTCTGAATAACTTAGGCTAGCTTCTGAATGATGCTGATACGCCAAGAAACGGTAATTTTGTAAGGTTGACGTTGTAACAAACCCTGTAACATTGAAGTGCTTTGTCTTTGTCTTTGGCATGATGAATGGTTAGGTCAAAGACATGATTAGAGATGGACGTGCGGAGATAGAGCTCTTCGGGATCTGGTAACGACGTACTTATTTCTACCGGCTTGGTTTCTTACCATATCCTGAAACTCGGAGTGAAACGTCGATAGCACACAGTCATTTTTGATAGATCCTGTTGAGCTATCATAAATTATCTATCTTGATGAGGAAGTGCTTCACAGAGTGGACAAATACGATGTCGATCTCCAAATCCCAGTGGAGCTGTTGCTGCTAGTCTAAGTTCGTCTCATAAAAATTATTCAGCTCCAATTTATTGGTAGAAGCGAGCGGGTGTTGTTGCTTCTTTAACAGACATCATCGGAGGTTATCCTCCACCCCAACCAACCGCGGCTGTCCTTTCCAGGTTTGCCTCCCTGTTGAGGTAGTCCCCGGTATCCACTAACCCGGTGATATGGCTATTCGATCTAGAAGAGGCCCGCGAGACTCATTATGGTCTAGTTATCTCGTTCTTCAGCTGAGTATTCAATTCAATGCACGTGGACTTTTGCCGACTCCGGACTGTTATAGTTCCTAATTCTCTTCTCTATTGACCAAATTCGTCTCAACCAGGCCTAATATGTCTCTAGTGCTGTGGGGTAGGTGTTGGACTAGGCGCTTTGGCAGCATCTATCAGCGATAGTGGGCCGTCGCCTGGGGCTTCTAGACTCCGGCTCAGCCGTCACTAGTGGTCTCAATTGGGCTATCCAGCTGGTCTATTAGCGCCACATGCAAGGGCAACTCCAGCTCTCAACTTCACATGTGAGCTGAGCGCTTCTGAGTCTAGAGAGTCTAGAACGACACGAGAGGCTCAAGGCTGAGCTTGACTCTTAGAAGGTAGACATTGTGAATTGTGGGTTGAGAGTATTAAAGGGCCATGAAATCCAAGGACACTTGTAAGTTGAAATTTGATTATCATCGACTTCAAACCATCGTATTCATCATCATCATCATCATCCCTTCTTTCGCCTCCAACCTATCCAACCTATCATCTGTAGCACATCTCACTTACGATTTACTGAAATGGATTTCGGCAGCGGCGGCTTTCGCCAGGGTGGATTCAAAGACACCAGCCTCATCCCCTCTCGCAAAAGAATTATTATCTGCTGCGACGGCACATGGCAGTCTTCCGTCACCAACAAGCTCAACGTGCCCTCTAACGTGACGAGACTTACGCGCTACATCTCCAAGATCGGCAGAGACAAGGAGAACAAAGAGTGGCAACAGCTCGTCTACTATGATGCTGGCATCGGCACGGGCGTCCACGACATTGAGGCCAAGCGTCAAGGTCTGACGGGCTCGGGATTTGTGGGTAATGTCATTGAAGCTTACAACTTCATTGTTCTGAACTACAATCCCGGCGACCAGATTTTTTGCTTCGGCTTCTCTCGTGGCGCTTACACAGCCCGCGCTGTGGCTGGTCTGGTCACTGACATTGGCATCATCCAGCCGCGAGATATGCAGGATTTCCCGAGGTTGTACGAGATGTATCAGAATCACACCGACGGTCACACATTCAGGAAGTCAAAGAATTGGCGCGAGTGGGTAGAGGGTGTACATCTCTTCGACCCGAAACAAAAGAATGTCCCCGAAGAGTGGAGACAGTCTCCGTACCAGTGGTCCAAGAGACCCCACGGCGAGGCCCCAGAGTCGTCGCGCTGGGTCCAAGCCGTCGGTGTCTTCGATACTGTTGGCAGTCTTGGCGTCCCTAAAGTCGAAGGATGGTTTAGCTGGGGTATTAACCTTATCGGCAAACAGGTGCCAGCTGAGACTTTTGGTTTTCATAACGTCGCACTCTCTCCATGTATGTTACTCCATAACCAACGCAAAGGATTAACCTCTTGATGGGCTACGGGCTGATATACTGTATAGACATCAAGCACGCTTATCATGCAATGGCCCTCGATGAACACCGTAAGCCCTTCAACACCACAATGTGGCACTACCCCATAGGGAACGAAGCCCCTATCCCGAAGCCCAAGGGAACAAGCGAAGAACTCAGGGCCAAGTTCGACAAGCTGCACGATACAGACGGTGCCAAGGACGAGGCACTGGACGGCGCCTGGAGTGACTTCGTCGATGCTCAGATGTATGAAGAGCTGAAGGACGCTGAAAAGTCCGAGCTGGTACAAGTCTGGTTCCCCGGATATCACATTAATATCGGCGGTGGCAGCGATGACATGTTGGAGGACAAGAAGGGCGATTTTGAGCGTATGCCTCTACTCATATTTCCCCCCGTCTTTACTGATCCAACACCAGCTAACTGTGCCCACAGAAATCGCCATGATCACACTATCCTGGATGGTAGAGCAACTTCGGCCACACCTAGAATTCGAAAGTGGCATCACCTACTCTTGGGACCAAGATCGTTTCATGCTCATGCAGCCCATAGTCGAGGATCTGCTCAAGGACAAGAAATTCACCAACCACTGGCTTGTCAAGAAGATCGATAACCTCCTCGCTGAAGAACCCAAGCAGGATCCCTGGAACGATAATAACAAGACCCGAAAGAGCGTCATCGCGGCCGACGCCCTCCGCCGCTGGGCAGTCGGTCCGATTCCCGACAGTTTCACGTCGGATTTCGAGCGCGCCGGATCAGAGAATCGCTCGCCAGGTGAATACTCCTCAGAAGGTAAACTACTAGAATGGAAGCGAACAATGGAGTATATACACCCCTGTGTCAAATATAGAATGGACTATCTCGGTCGCAACAAGAACGGGTACGACCCAGCCTCTCTCAAAGGCTTTGATCGCAAGCAGGGCGTCGATGGTGAGGGCAATCCCATCTTTAACTGGGTCAAGGGCAGCAAAGTGAAGATCCCCGAGTACAAGATCACGAAAACGAGCTACGAGCGGTCTTGCGTCGTGAGCAAGTCCGCGAAGAAGTTCTTGGGCGAACTGGATAAGGCATTAAAGATCGATTCGTGGGAGGCTGCTGAGCTGGATGCGCCCGCTCAGGAGCCGCCGCAGAACAAGGGCTTTCAGCCTAATGGATCGGGGTTCTAGATGCCGGTATTTCTTATGGCTATATGGGAGGAACAGGCGTTTAGGAATCCAGTGTGTAGATTAGCAATAACGGCATATATTTACGGGCTGATCGGGATATCCAAATATACAGGAAAGTACATATATATGCTACTCAAATCATGTTTATTTGACTCTTAACAATAAAGTCTCTTTCACCATCATGCCCACGGAACGAGATAGAGCCAGTGGAGATGATAGCGCCACAGAATGAGAAACAAAGATGGGCGATATCTGAAGCAAAGGTATCTCTCTGTGCCTAACCAAAACGAACTTTGTGGTTTTCATGTAAGTGATTATGCCCATATAGCATCAGAATCGAGTCAACCCCAAAGTCTGAACTCCAAGATCCTGAGGCTCATTCTACACCGATCTGTACACTTCTGTCAACGTCCAGGAATCACTCAAAAGTTTTCCCTCCAAAACTGGGTATAAATGACATCTCTTTTAGTGAAAAGCAGAGATGCCACTGCTGCAAAACACCCAAGTCTCCTCCGACAAAGTAGGAAAGTCTGGGAAAACATCAAGCTCATACGACCTGCCGCTCATTTGCCCGTGCCCCATCTTTGGTGATACTCAAAGTTAGCCAGGCCACAAAATTCCGCCGCCGTTACACCCGGCCGGATTGCGGGATAGGGGTCTTATACAATTCTTCAACCTACTTTCCCTTCCCATTCCCCGGTTTTCTCCCCGACAACCATGAGGTATAGCTCTCCGCTTATTTGCTGACTGCCACCACTTACAACTCATCCCAGGTAGGCGGGGCGAATAAGGGGAGCCCTTCGCTATCGATGGCCAAAGTCACCGAACTTGTCATACATGGAGTTTTCAAAACCTTTGTCCATCCTGTCTTGCATAGGTAGTTTCTATAGAACACTTCCTCTCTCTACCTATTTCCCCTCGCTGTATTAATGGAGTACATACTATTGCAGGGGGGGCGGGAAATAGTACGTAAGAAATTAGTTCTCTACCAAGAAAACGGTGATGTTCATTATGTCAATATATATCAATGCTGCCTCTTCCTTTCGAATGCGGCTTCCCAATGAGTAGCCGCCACATAGTTGATCTCTGTAGCATGTATCCAGGTGACTTTTATTAGAAGAGAAAAGAAGTAAAACTAACTATAAAGGTCGTTACTTATATAGGCGCTCTAGTAGGGGCTTTATAAGCTGATCCCCTGCGCTGGCATTACTGGGCGCTATCCTGACATTGAGGGTATATACACGGGCACTCCCACGAGGCACTAGAGGCGTGATGGAGTCAAAAGCGGAAGCGGGCAACATCATGTCACAGAGGCTAACAACCTAGTCATCAATCAAATTGTCCTAGTGGATTAGGCGCAACCACCCAGCCAAGCTCTATGTATGAGTGACACACGATAGTGCTTAATTGTGAGAGCAAAAGAAAATTCCAGCAAGACATAGACTCTCAAGCGCTATACGAGGGTTTGAAGCGTGAGGTTTCAAGGTAAAATATGAGACGCAAACGTAAAGCACTGTTATAAGAAAGCAGTCAACACGATAAAGTCGCAAAAGATAGAGAAGCATAATACCGCCAAAGAAAGAGAGGGGAAAAAAGAAAAAAAAAATCAATGATCCAATCCGGATTTGAACCAGAGACCTTCAGTGTGTGAAACTGACGTGATAACCGCTACACCATTGGATCGAGGGAATATGATTGAGTAGTTTGTAGCTTCACTTACTTTATTTCACTACCATTACAAAAACTAATCCGCTCATCTTCATCACCTAGTCCAACCTCTCTCTCCTAGATCACGAGAAGCCCACCTTTGTATCTTTCCTCCTACCTGTTTTAAGGAAATCGGAAAGAAAAAAGGGGGAAAAAACAAAGAGGGAAAAAAAATGTTAAACGCCTGCCTCAGCTCTTCTCCTTTCCCTCTTTATCAAGTATTACCCACGCCCAAACCTACAAGTAACAGCGGCTGAGCTACACACGGCCCCTAGTTGTAGTTAATGGGCTATTTATGCAGCCGTGGTATCCCGCCTAGCACTTCACCCTTCGGGTCCCTCGATGTCTATGCAGCAGGGACTGTTTCTGAACCGCTTGACCATCAGGCCAATGGTGCTGTTGGAAAACTACTGCTGCTATTTGGATGTATTAGGTCTCCTGCCGGATTAATGCAGCCAATGAGAGACGTGCCGCGGCTGTTCATCGGGTAGCAGCATTAATGGGAGGTACATGCACACACACAGAGCGCCTATCACTGTATCTCAATGAATTTAGCTCCTGTAAATCATGCCGCACCGTATTCTACACATAGGCATGATCTCCAACAAGTGAAGAAGGAAGATGAACAAGAAGGCCCTTATCGTTAATATTCTCTCTACCTACGTAGAATACGTTCAGCTGATCTAATGTTACAGAAAAGGCTCCACGACATCACACATGCTCACCCAGCGTATGTGTGTATGCCTTTGCCAGTTTCCCAGGACCCCGATGACGCGTGTGTTAATGAAGACAGAGAGAGGACCACATGGTCCGAAAGACAGGCCAGCCAGGTATGCCGATGTTGATAAAAACTCGCCGCAACAGAAAAATTGGCAGAGAACAAAAGAACTCCCACGAGTATTGACCCCCCTTAGAGATCAGCCCCGTCCACGCGACCTAAAAAAGACCGGAGGCTTCTTCTAACCGCGAAAGATTGTTCCTGAAGCGACATGGGGACTTCCGATCTCACCAGGAGCACCCACGTTTCGCGGGAACTGCCCAGCTCCCACACCACCATCGAACCGGATGACGACTTTTCCGCCATCGCTATGACGAATGTCGAAGCTGCCGCCTCCGTTCTGCGAGTTACCTTCTGTCTCACAAATCTCTAGGATCTCATCTTCAGACACTTGATCAAGAGTCACAGGTTTGATGGTGTCAATGTGACCTCGCACTGCAGGTAGCTCGATGTAACCATGCGCATCTGTTGCGTAGTTTTCTAGTTCCTTACAAGCACGTATGACAAGTTGACGAACCATAAGAGGACGAGGCTGGGATATTCGTGTTGTTGGGGGAGCCATACCAAAAGCCGGATTGGAAAGCCAACCAGCGTTGCCAACAGGATGTGAGAAACCTGGAGGTGGAGTGAACACACCTGGCGCACCCCACAGGTTGTTCGAAGGTCCATATGGTGGGCTTGCAAATGAAGGATTGGGAAATGCCGGCCGCGGTAACACTCCAGGGGCTACCGTGTTCTGACGAGGGGGCTCAAAGTTGGGCAGAGGCTCATCATTGTCGTCCAACAAGGCGCTGCTCCCAAGCTGATTGCCAACATCATCAATATCTGCAGACAAATTGTGACGTCGCTGGCCATTCACTGTGCTGTCGGGGCGCCCTATCGGTGCGGGTCTTCCAATAGGCTGGCCACCAGAACTGCCGAGGTCGAAAGAGGCAGAGTAGGATGCAGATCCCTGACGTGAATGGGTCTGCTGGCCACCGGGGTGATTGCCCCCTGATGAGAAAGGCTGGTGCATCGTTGGCATGTGCATATCCATGGCGCCGGGAGGAAACGAAGGGTGGAAGCCTTGGCCTCCCATAGGACCACCCAGACCCGGAGGCGGAGGTGACATTCCGGGTGCTCGAAATTGAGATCCCATCGGTGGAAACATATGGTCAGGCATGCGATTGAAAGCATGGCCTACAGGTGGCATGCCTGGGGGTATTTGCATTGGCATTGGAGGTATACCTGTATCGAAAGGACCGGGATGAAGACCAGGCGGACTCTTCATTGCACTGTGATGTGGCGACATGGGGGGAAACAGTTGCGCTATGGAACTCTTGCCAAGCGATCCAACAGGACCTGGACTGATCTGCAGAGGGCTCGGAGCATGCGGTGAAGCGGTCTGACTAGGACCAGAAGCGGAATGCGATGCTTGAGATACAGATCGGGTGACATCCTGAGAAATAGCACGTGGTTTGACAGGCGTGTGAGTTATTGGTAGAGCCGGTTTCGCGACTGCAATTTGGGGCGAGGCATTATTAGCCAAAGGCTGTTGCGGGAGCGCCGGAACAGAGACAAGTTGCTTCTTCGGAGGTTGCGGCGGAATGGGGATGGGAACAGCTGGCTTGGAAGCTGTCTTCTCTTCCAGCTTCGACTTCTCCTTGGCCTCGCGCTCGGCCTTGGCTTGGGCTGCCCTGGATTCTTTTTCCCTCTTGTCTTTCTCATGCTTTTCCCGCCGCTCGCGGGTCTCGCGTTCTTTGGCCTCGCGAGCCTCCTGTTCCTTGCGTCGTTGCTCCTCTTTAACCCGCTTCTCGCGTTCCTTGGCTTCCCGAGCTTTTCGTTCCTGCTCGGCTTGCTTCTCCTTCTGTTCGTGAGCACGTCGCTGTTTTTCAGCTTCCTTGCGTAGACGCTCTTCTTCCTCGGCCTTCTTCTGCGCTTCTTTCTTTCTCCGTCTCTCTTCAGCCTTGGCCCGAGCCTCTTCGTTGCGTCTCGCCTCTTCCGCCGCTTTGGCTTCCTCTTCGGCGGCCTTCTCAGCCTCTCTCTTCTGCTTCTCCTCGAGGGCGGCTTGCTTCTTCTGAAGGGCTTTCTCTTTGCGTTTCTGCGCGACGACTGCTTTCTTTGCCTTGCGCTGGCTCTCCTGGGTCTCTTCCTGCGCGAGTTCCTCGAGAAGTTTCTCTTGCCGTTCCTTGGCGACCTTCTCTCGATATGCAGTTAAGACTCTTTGCTCGAACATCCTCGCGGCAAAGATCTGGAACATCCGACGGCCCTCTTCCATGCGCTGCTCCTCCGTCATCTGGTCCTAGGGGGCTGTTAGTCTACTTCATTTAAATCCAGTAGCATATTCCATTACCTCTTCTTCCTCATACTCATCGTCTTCCTGACTCTCGTCATACTCCTCCTCATCCTCGTCTTCGTCATCGTATTCTTCTTCTTCGGGTGGAGGGTGATTATGGGAGTTAGATAAGCCGCCGTTGGGTGCGTGACCATAGTTGCCCGTGTAGTGAGCGGCGTCTTCTTCACGGGCCATTCTGCGCTCGGCCAACTGTTCCATCATTTCAATGAACTTCTTGCCATCGTTCTTCAGGAGATCGTCTGCCACAGTGAGAATGCCACCTATATATGTTATTCACGACAATCATCTTGTGACGAGTGATTAAGTCTGTGAAGGACTTACCTTTGACGGTTAAACTCTGGCCGAAATTGAAGAAATCATTTGAGTAAGAATCCCGAGGTTCCTCTGGCTCGTCCTCCTCTTCATCGTCGTCGAGGTCTTCCTCGTCGCTGTATTCCTCTTCGGCGCCGTCGAGCTCATCGTCGTCCTCGTCGTTGTCCACATGTTCTACTATGCGTCCACGTGATGGGTGGTGATTTGGATATTGTGAAGGTATAATGCCAGGGGGGTGGAGACCACTCATAGGGCCGAACCTTTTGGGGCCAAACATGGGCGGGCCGTTGGGATGGCTATGAGGCTGGTTGGCAAAGGACTCGAGCTCCTGATAGTACGCATCGTAAAGACCTTCCAACTCTTCCTCGATAGCAGTTCGTTTGCGACCGCAAACGGTGCAGCTGCAGGTGTGCTTCTGCTGCTCCTTCATCTTTCTCAGAACAGCATCTTTCTCGACCTTGACCAATGACTTTCGCTCGTCCTCGCCGAGTCCAAGCCAGAACTGCTTGATGCGCTCTCGTTCTTCGGGGCCGGACGTGTTCCATATCTTCTCTCGTGATATACCGGATGGTCGCGTGGGGCTGTGCTCGAGAGGAGGGACAGAGGTATTGGGTGCCGGCATTTTGGCCTTCTTCTTCTTTTTCTGCTTTTTTGACTTGGAGATAGAGTCATTGGCGGAAGAATGTTGTTGGTTGGGATGCGAATAGGACTCCTTATGACCATCATCGCTTTCCGTCTCTTCGCCCCAGTCGTCGTCATTGTAGGCTTGAGATTGGACTGAGTGAGCCTGGCGGCCATTTCCAGGATTTGCCCGAGGCGGGTAGGGTGTTGTCAGCTGAGGCACGCTCGCGGTAGAGGCTGGGCTAGGAAGGCCGTTGGCTGCTGCTTGGTCTCTCTCGGCTGCGGCAGCCTTGGCAGCAGCCTTGGCCCGGCGTTTCTGCTTCTTCTTGTTGACAGCTACGGGAGCGGGGGGTTCGGGAGCAGGAGTCGGGTGAGTGGGAGCGCCACCGCGGGAGGATATGGTGGTGGTAGGGGATGGCTGAGCAGGCGGGGTGGATGCGGAGGACTTGGGGACGGAGATGTACTTGGTGCCATCTTTATTGGTGTATTTGGCGGTGGCCTTTGGGTTTGGCGATGTAGCAGGAGCTGGTGCGGGAGCGGGTGGTCGGTTGTTGTTTGAAGGCATGGTCGAATGTTGTGGGTCGACGATTACACGTTTCGTCGGAGTCGGGACTCAATCAGCATTGGCGAAGGATGTAGGCACTTCAGCTGCCGGCAACACATGCAAACAAGTGAAAGACAGTGGCGTGGCAAGCAAGGCTTTGTTGGTTTGTTGGGCGAATGTTGGGGGCGTAGGTAGATGGGTAGGTCAGGTCAGGTTAGGAAAGGTGAGAGGGAGGGGTCCTAAGCGCTGATAACGGTTTTCTGCAATGAGGGAATGAGAGCGTGGATTTGATGCTGTGCACGGGGACGTTGTGTTCGGGATTGCTATGGTTGATGTAAAGAAGGTTGTTGTTGTTGTTGTCGGTGTGTTCTCGGGGGGCTGCTATT